CGCGCAATCCGATCCGTTCCCTGTGCGTCGGCACACAGGGGAGGAGGGAGTCGCACATGCCCAAGCGTGGCTTCTTATGCAGCCCCACCACGAGCAAACCACTCGGGTCGTGCACAACCACTTTGCCCGAATGAACCAGAAACCACAATCCGGCACCGTTTCCGAAACTTCTGCTCGAGAACGCAATGTGTCCCCACACTAGCCTGGCCGTTCCCACAGCCCACGCAAGCAGCCCTGAGTCCATAACTGCGCTCCGTCAAGGGAAACAGTAACCCTCGCCACCAAATACCTACTTACTTCTCAGCACAAATGAGGATTTTTAACAGAGGGTTTAGAGCCGGGGGCTTGTGACTAAACAAATAACGCGGCTGCACCCACGGTGCAATTTTAGGGTGTGTAGCAAAGTTGTTGGGGGTTGTGGGCGGGTGTGTGTGGCTCTATTTTTTTTTTGGGAAACCAAAGATGTTTTTTTTATTTACAAACGCCTTGAGCAAACCCGTATCTGATCGTGGACTACTTGAAATATGCACAGGTAATTGTAGTGTGAGCCTCTAACGCTGTTGATGGCAAGTCGATGCCCAGGAAAATAGCGAAATGTCATCAACGCAGTTAAAAGACGACGGTTAACGACTGCAGTGACTTTGTCTTCTAAGATAACAGGCCTGATTGCAAACGCTTCTTTTGAAAGTGTCGTTTTCATCAAGCTTGTACCATTGCATATGACCACATTTTCTTGGTTCTTTCGGTAAAGTCACGTAGAATGGAAATAATAAAATAATAAAAATAAAACATAATACAATAATTCTCACGACGTTTCGGCCACAACGCAAGCAGCCGTCCTGAGGTGAAGAATAGGTCTGTCGAGAAGACAGAGTATGTTTTATGTTATTATTTTATTATTTCCCTTCTACGTGACTTTACCGAAAGAACCAAGAAGATGAATCCCTGCTGTCACGAAAGCTTTAAATCGAAATATGACCACATTCTCTAAAACATGCCAATCCTATCCAATATTGGAAACCATGTGGGGTTGCACCAGGTTAGAACTTGCATGGGTAGACCACCGGGGCTTGCCAGGTGTTGTAGGTGCGGGGCTTCTGAGAGGAATGGCCAAGGAGATGGCAGTGGTGAGTGTCACCTCCCGCTATGCTTGGTGGGTTTTCACCAGGTACTCCCCCACATGCCCATTGCTCACCTATCCAATTGATCAAACATTCCCATGCAGGACCCTCTTTGAAAAAAGATCCTTCAGACTCAGTAAGGCTGCTCTAGGTAAATCATTGGCATTACAGTAATATATATACTGTATAACAATAAAGAACCACAAATCTATAGCTGTTGACAAACATCAACGATTCCAGGATTACAGGTGATGGGTCGTTTAAATGTTAATATATTCTTATTTTCCATGCTTTTTCTTGAGCTTTCTATCGAGTTGTTATCAACAATCGCTGAGAAAATTCTAGTTTTGGAACGCTCCACTTCGCTGTTTACATCATCACACAAACATCAGTTGTGACCTACACTTTCACAGATAAGACTCACGCGTGAATGGGTGTGAGAGTGGAAGGAAGTTTACTCTTGCACACTTTTGCCTTTGAGTGTGACCCACATTACAGCTTAGAATTATAACGATTGAACAGGCTCGGAGAGAACGTAATGCAGCGTGGACCTCTAACTCTTTTTTTAAATGTGACAAAGGACAATGCCACTGGCTGAAAACACTTTAGGACAATTGCTCTCTACCATATCACAGTCTTATGAAATAAAAGTTGCACTCTTTGACTCGATGGTCACACTGAGTCAAGTGGGCAGGTGCTGATTTAGCATGCGATTACGCCCAAAAGAGAGAGGGGCTTTCCAATGAGAACAACATCTGCTCCGAGCTGACCGCCAGCCTGGCACTGCAAGGGGCATTCGAGATTCTAGATTTGAAGCTTTCGTGACTGCAAGGATTCATACTCTTAGGTTTTTTCGGTAAAGTCACGTAGGTAAAAATAAAGAAAAAATAAGAATAATTTATTTATAATTTCTAATATTTTTTTTATTTGTGCTATAATTTTTGTTACTAATAATTAATTTAAAAAATGTTTACTAATAATTAATAAAGAACACAAAGAATGTTTTTACTAATAATGTACTTATTATTTCTTTTATTTATATTATTTATTTTTACCTACGTGACTACCGAAAAAACCTAATAGCATTCGGGATCCTTGTACCACACTGCACAGCACAAAATGCTGTCGTTCAACCTCAAGGAAGCTCTCACCCCCCTCCACCCACCCCCGCCTATTGCACCTGGGCCCCTCCGGCCCTTGGGCACCGGCGCAGTTGCACCGCCTACACACTCAATAGGAGCTACGCCTCTGGGAAGGGACAGCAACGGAGGTTTGGAAGCTTCTCACGGTACCGAGTGGTTTGGTGCAGTGGGCTACCGGGCATGAGGACATTAACGGCCTGCCACCAGCGTGATGGCTCCAAGTTCTCATGGAAGGCGTCTGTCAAACGCCGAATAAGGAGATAGATGCCCCGTTAAGGAGTTCGCCCCTTGTTCACCCATTCATCGAGGAGATCTCTCCTCAAAACAAACAGGCCGGTTTGAAACATCATCCTTGCCCGGGTGCAGTATAGCATTCCTTGCGTTGTAAGTTTGGGGATTCCAGCGGCTATTGTACATTGTATGTGCGAGACTAGGCTACCGCATGCTGACGTTCTACGTGATCCCCACGACAAATGCATGACATGGTTTCCCTGCTGTACAGTGCCGTGTGAAAAGTAACGTCGAAAAATACACACGCTAAACTGTAAGCAAATACGTGCGTTAAGAGTAACGTTTTTCTTCATTCCTGAGAAGTTGTTTTTTTCTATCGGTTACACCCACAAATGCGGCTGGGATAGTGGGCTTGTCGAGGCGGAGTCACTGGTCTGCCAGCTCTCATGAGCATTTTGGTCAGAGATAAGCGGCAAGTAAACACACCAGTAAACTATCATCGTCTCTGGTCGCACGTGATTGGAAAAACCTTACTTTTCTGGAGGAAAAAAAAGAATTCTTGCTATCAACAAAACACCAAGTCCACATAAACTCTAACTGCAGACACTGTTGTGGCTTCAGTGTAGCAAAACCCATTGTTGTACCGTACTTTGTATGCTCTCACGTCTCGGCTTCTTGCCCTTCACCAAGCCACGCTGACCAGCGTGGTGATGTATGGCCAAAAACAACCCCATGGAACGCACGGCATGGGATCGCTGCCATCCAGCATTGGATTGACAAAAGGGCTGTACACGTACAGTTGCTGATTTCGTTCATCCAATAATACTTTGTGAGCTCTGCACCATTACGTAACACGCTGGTACACTCTATTGTAATTGAGAGTAAGACTTTGTGGGTGATCATGGGGCAAGTCAGTGTCAGCCTGACTGAGCCCATTTTATCATTCTAGATTTGAAGCTTTCGTGACTGCAAGGATTCATATTCTTAGGTTTTTTTCGGTAAAGTCACGTAGGTAAAACATTAAAATTAATAAAAGTAAAATAAAATAAAAATCAGGCAACACAAGCTTCCGTCTTCAGGTGGAACCGTCACAACCACGACAGCTGTATCAAGTAAATGAGAGATTGCAGGAGCTACCACTCCGTTTATATAATGGTTGGAGAAGGGGGGGGGGGTAAGGGCCAAGTGCAGCACACTTTTTTATTAATATGGTAAGGTGAGGTATATAATATCAGAAGTGGCTCTGTGGCATCTGCTTCCAAATACCGCGTTCTAACACGGGGTGCTGCACTGCTCTGTGAGCATTGCAAATTGACTCTTCATCACAAGACAACAAACGCACCGCATGTGCAAACAGGATATAACTTTATAAACGGATATAAATAAAAGAGAACATTTCTTTTGAAAGTGCTGCAATTACTGAAACAATAAGCTTTTCAACGTTACAGAGGAAAATAAAGTGAAGCGTTCCACAAATCCCCTAATTGTAGGTGTGGTTGTGGAATAAACAACACAGTCACTGAATTTACTTTCACAAGTCGGAGAAATATCTCAACCTATTCAATAAATGATTGCCCTGTTTGTATTCACACGTGTGAATCACATTACATTTTAACAACAGGTAATTGTGTCTCTCATGACTAAGGGCCACTATCGGTGTTTTCTATTGTGATTCATTCGTACTTCTTTAGTTATTTGTCGCCGAGTAGAACTGTGGGTAATTCGTATGGAATTCAGCACATGTAGCTTATTTACCCTTAAAGCTTACATACTGTGTTCTAACTCTATGAGTGGATTGGCATAGGGCAGGGGTCGGCAACCTACGGCTCCGGAGCCGCATGCGGCTCTTTACGGGCTGCTTCTTGACGATGAGTACGTACGTATGTACTCAGATGCATTGCGGCTCTTGAAATACTGAATTTTGTACCGAATTGGAAAGAAATGGCTCTTATTGTTATTTTGGTTGCCGACCCCTGGCATAGGGCGATACATTATTATTATGTGTTTATGGTGAAGGGGTGTTGACTCAGTAGTTAGCGCACCGCACTATAATTTCAAGGTGCAAAGTTAACTTCCTGGCTGCCTATTAAAATCGTTGATATTTCATCCAGCCAAGGTTCGCCCCCATTTCACCAACCTGCACTGACCAGCATAGTGAGGTGCCATCAAACAACCTCCACGAGTGACACAACATGCGGGAGGCCTTCATCCAGCAATGGATTGACCATCATTATCATCCAGCAGAGGATTGCCAAAGGGCTGAATAGTATATTATTAATATTAACAGTAATTTATTCCAAAAAATTGAAAGGGCATGTACGTTTGTATTAACCTGTTTTCATGATTTTCATACGTTTCCTTTCTGAAAGATGCATACATTTTTTTTACATTTATCCTATCATGTTTTAAAGTAACTTTTATTGAAAGAACATGCACTAATTGCAATGTACAAGTGAACCGGAAGTCCAGCGAGAGTCCACAGGGGCAATGCAGCAGAAGCACTCACCAATTGCTGGATCTCTCCGCATACTGCCGCACAGTGTAGCCAAACTGGGCATCTTCAGGGCCGTCATAGAACTGGGCATTTTTGGTTCCAATATTAAATGCCCAGCACACACCTGCCAAAACAACATCAACAACAACAGGACTTAAAAAAAATATTCGCCATCTGCCATTCGCTTCAGTAGTCATTCACTATCCTCTTGCTGGTGGAAGTCCTTCCCGTGTTTGCGTCATCTCCGACATAAATATCTCAGCAGTCGTCTGAATTGTGTTTGATGTCTTCTGGAGGGAGAGGGGGGGGGTAATGTAGGCAGGGTAGAACGAGGGTGGAGTGGTTTGGTCGTTGGGCTATAATCTGGTGAACTGAGTTGATACCCAGCCACGATTAATTTGAATCGGTCCTCGACACTAACCCGTGCTAACCAGCGTGGTGAAGTACTAAAGAACAACTCGCATTACTGAAAGGCATGTGGGGAGATCTTCAGTCTAGCAGTAGACTCATAAAGGATAGTGCATTACATTGAAAGAAGTGAGCAGGACCAGTGCAGTAGCGACTAAACGTGTCAATCGTAACAAAGTGGAGGGAATTTCATGTCTGAACGGAAAATGCCCCTCAAATTTGGAGTGGACATTACGTGAGAGAAGCTTAAAAGACCTCACTCACATACCACGTTGACGTCTAGCTTCAGATCAAATTGCAGCCGGGCACTCTGAGTGTCTGACTTCCCAGTTTAACACACTTCATTGGAAATGGTGAATAATGAAAAGAGAAAACAACATTAAGGGCTGTGCTGAAAAGAATTCAAAACTAAAATCCCAGGTGACGTGAACCGCAAAAATCCATCCATAAATGGACCCAAAAGGGAGACTAAAAAAATAGGCTGTCATTCAACAAAATCTAACGTTTTTAAACTGGCAGAGTGCAAATCTCTGCTAAATGTGATGAGGCACCAGCTCGTGCAGTGATAACACGCATGACCCGTCTTGTGTGTTTACAGTGCTCAATGTGCCTGGGCTTGCACAGGATTGTGGGTGTGAGGCTTTGAGCTACTGCAAATTATTATCTTTATTAGGTAGAGACCCAGCAAGAGATGTGTAGTTGTTTGTGTTTGTGCTGTATAACTCCTTGATGTGTGTCCAGCTTGTACTGAATGTTGTTCCACGTATCGGAGAGCTATACAACTATAGACCCTTTATTTTTAAAACTTCCTGCCATTGTACCTTAACCGCGTAACTCAACTGTGCGTGACAAATCTTCCCAGAAATAATGTGATGAGCATTCTGCCACATATTAATCGGAAAATCAAATCTTCAGAAAAAATATTAACGGAATTATCTGTGCAATATCAAAAATCTTTTTTAAATGCCCCTACGATTAATTTCAGTTCCTAAGAAGTTTTCACGAATATTTTTTTCGTCCCACCTCCGCAGATCTTCTCTGCTTGCACAGATCATAACCGTCTTAGAGATATACATAAACATCACACAGCGCCTTATTGTTAGTCACTTGTGCGTACGCGTTCTACAATCAAATAAGGAAACATTTTATAGATTTTTTTTAAACACTATGCCCCCTCCGTCATCCGGCCTCAGCATTCCACTTTCGTACAAGCGGCATCTCCCGGTGAATTATTCGAAAGGTCTCTGTCATAAGTGCCATCAGTGCTCGGAAACAGGGTAGCCCTTTTATCCTTTCACATTCAACGGCTGGGGGGGCCTGGCTGACAGCCGGGCACACCCATCGTTGCCATGCGGTGCACCCTCACGGCTGGTTGGGTTTTTTTTGTTGCAACCAAGCAGTGAGAAAGAAAGAAAAAAAAAGAGAAAAATGTTTCCCATCAAGTTTACTTTGTTCAACCAGGCGAGAACTCGAGAGACCAGGATAAGTCTCATTTGCAATGCTGAGCTGGGTAAGCCATAGATGACGAAATAAATTGATTAAAAACAAGGAAAGTAAACACATACTCAGAGCAGGGCAACCGCACTTGCAGAAGAAGCGGCACACTCACCAGAAGCGGCGCACTCACCTTGCGTCAGCGTGAGAAGGCAGACGAGGCCCTCCGTGCGGAATCCCATCCTTGCACCGCCGCAGCTAATTGTCAATTCAGGTCACGTTGCCGGACTGCCCCCAAGTGAAAAGACCCTGGCAACAAGAAAATAAGTGACCGGGATAAAATATATATTAACTTCCGTTGCTCGACACTTGTGAGCTGGAGCATGCACGCCTTGTGGAAATGCCTGGCGGTTGTGCTGGTGGTGGAGGGGAGAGGCGAGGGAGTGAGTGAGCAAATGGTGGCAACTACATAAGCAGTAGTGACAAGAAGAATCAAAGAAAAGTGAATAGGGGAAGTTTTGTGAACAAGTGTGGGGCAGAGCTCCTCCCACAGTGCGGAGGAGGAGGGAGGTTTCTGCTGGCTGGTCTAACCAGCAGGATAAGCACTACACATCACCGGGCAGAATCTGCCTAAGTTACCCTACAGCAACCTCTGTGGCTTTCGTGCAGTGAGTCAGAAGGCAGGCATTTGCAGTACCGTAGTTTGTTGTGCAATGACTTGTTTTTTTTTCTTTCTCAGGGGTAAAACATAAAGGCACATCCCTGCAATTGTTTCCTCATGCCACTGCTGGTGGATGAGCCTCCAAAAGACGGAGCTCTGTAGAGCCCCCTCTAGAGGGTGTTTTGGCCTCCTCTTCCACTCAGGGCCAGACGACTCGAAAGAGAGCTGAGAGTACCCATACTTTATACCACCCAACACGACCTCCCGCATGGAATGTGTACCCATTACTACTGCTGGGTGGACAGCAGCGGCGATGTTACTGGTAGGAACCTCCTGGTTCCACCAGCCCACAGGGGATTCTTGTGTCCGTCCGTCCGTCGTGAATCCAAAAATGGGAGGGGTCGGGCTGGGTGGAGAGGGGAGGGTGAGGAGGGGCTGGGTGGGGAGGGTGGGGCTGGGTGGGGGGTGGGAGGGGTGGGGCTGGGTGAGGAGGGGAGGGGCTGCTCACCCCGTGGTGCCCTTATAAAACTCAACGTTTAACCTACTCACGCCGGCTTGTGCCCGCCCTCACAGTCGGGCATATTTGCGGAATACACCACGCCGCCGTTGACCCTGGCCATTGACCGAGCAACCCAACGTTCCTACCAGCTCCCTCCGCAGGAATGTGTTTAAGAAACTAGCCTAATTGTATGTCTCCAGAGAATTACTGAAAACACACATTGCAAGCCACCTGCAGGAATATTAGTTTGACAGAGAAGACGAAACTCATTAAACGGTAGACATGCACGAACTGTGTTATATTTGCACACTTGAAAATACTGTATTAACAAAACTACATTTACAGCCCGTGTGTAAATGCCCTGCTGGGTGAGGGCCATCCATCTCCATGTAACTCGTTGGGATGAGTTGACCATACTTCACCACGTCGGTTCAGATGTCACGTGTCACTGGCGTTAGGTGTGGCCGGGAATAAAAATCACGCAGTGGGGTACGCAGAGCTATGGGGCCGTCCATAAATGACGTCACGCACCTAGGGCGGGGGGGGGGGTGTCAGACATTTGTGACGATGTGTGACGAGGGGGGGGGGGGGGTTGAGAAATGTGACGTCACATCAAAATGCGCAACTTTAAATAAATATAGACAACACGTTCCACTTGATTAAATAGACTTTTTTAAATAAATGTTTTCTCCTACAACATCAGAGTGCAGCGCCACATTAAATACGCACTACAATGACAATAGTTTAAAGCCATTTGAAGCATGTTTTATTTTGGGGGGGGGGGGCAGAGCTTTGTGACGTCATATTTGAGGGAGGGGCTGACTTTTTTGTGACGTCGTGTGACGAGGGGGGGGGCAAAAATCGGCTAAAATCGCGTGACGTCATTTATGGACGGCCCCTATGTGCTAACCACTGCGCCACCGCTCCCCCCCTTTGAAAGTAGAGTCATACCCCGATTTACGTCTTTTCGCAAATACGTCGTCTCTTTATTAACACCACGACCTTAATTGCGTCGCCTCAGTCCACTTAGTCGCAGACAGCAGCATCATCCTCACTCTCTCGTATCCGTCACCTCGGCCTTCACCTCCACCTGCCACGCAAATTGCTTTGATTCACGCCGTTTCGATATTCGTTGCACCTTTGAGGAACGCATCGCCGACGTAAACCGGGGGGTATGGCTGTTGTGTAAAACTACAAGAATAGTCTTACAGTGGTGGGACCAACAACACACACCGCCATCTGCGTTTCCCCAACGCTGATGTTCCCAGACTGCACTGGCTAATAATCTCAGCCTGTGCCAATACAGTTGGAGGTCCATGTATAAGTTAAGATGCCAATGCCAGCGATGATCATGGCTAGGAATTGAACCCGCGTCGCTTGCCAACCACTGCATCACCACTCACACATGTGTGCATAAGTGCACGCACACGCATGCACGCACACGGGCAGAAGATACGATCGTGCTGTCTCCACACATTAGGCACGTACCAGTTCACCCAAATCCCCGGCTTGCCCCGCGGATTCAATGAATTGTTATGAGTGAGGGTCGCAATTCAATGAAAGAACGTATTCTTTTTGTCTCGTTTGTGCCACCCTGCTCAGTCTCTCGTGCTCAGCTTTTACCCCCCCCCCCCCTCTCAGATCATTAACCTAACAGTAAACATGAGCATATCAATTGCAATCATTAACCGTACCAAAAAAATGATTTAATCGACGAGCATGTACGTACCTGGCACTCGCCACTTAAGCGTAGACCCCAGGTAACGTGGAACATTGGTCCAACGTCGGGCCAATGTTGGCCCAACGGTCCCAAACGCAGAGCGACATTGGCCCAACATTGGCATGCTTACACGGGAGGGCCGCCGCGTGGATGGGCCACGCTCAAACGACACGCGAAAATAAGGTGGGGTGGAACAAAAATCATCGATCGCCCAGCGATTTGCAGCAACGTGGGAACAACGGCGACTGCGAATAACTTCACAAATCATAACGCACCCACAAGCAGCACAGCCCGCGCCAATGACAATGTGAGCCACTGTGGGACAACGTCGTATAATGAACCCTGAACCCTGCACGGGCCGGCGGCTCTGGGCACCCGAGCCGTCGTTCCGCTCGCACCCCTTGGCAACCGAGTGGGCGGGCAGGCCGCGTCGCTCTACGTCGCCAAAAACACCCACCCCAAAAGCAAGAAGAAAAAAAATGTAAATACTCAGTCGTTTGTGCAGTATGCAACAAGAACAAAAAAAAACATCATCAGTTTCCGGGGTGGGGGGGGACAGAGGCGTAGCTAGGGGGGGGGGTGGCAGGGGGTACACGTGTCCCCGGGCGCCAAGGTAAAGGGGCGCCAAAATGAGGCTTACAACGTTACATTATAACTTATTGCGGCGGGCGCGACAGCCTGAAACTACTGCACACATCTACACCTCAACCTAAAAGTTTGGTATGTGATTAAACGGGGGGGGGGGGGGGGGCGCCAATTTTATAGTTCGTCCCCGGGCGCAAATTATCCTAGCTACGCCACTGGGGAGGAATGCACCGGGTCGTTTTGTAGTCGGTCACCATAAATTTGAGCAAATGTGACTTGACTTGATGACAAGGTAAACCGTGGGCAGGTTATATTTTAGTCCTTGTTGGGGTGAAACCGGTCCACAGTTGTGTACGTGTGCTCAAATTTATTTTTGATGGTGACTTCAGACAAGAGGGCCACAAAGCATGAAGACTGAATGCTTCTTTGTACGCCTTCATGGTGTGATCTTTGAAAGTTATGGTTTTCCAGCCTGCACTATTTTTCCGTTATGTGTGTATCTTGAAATTCTTTCGTACCGTATATTGAGTGTTCTTCTCGTTTACAAACATCGCCAAACTTTCCACGTGAGAAGAAACAAAACATAACAGCTCTACAATGGCACGACATTTCATGATATTGCATCTCATACACAAGATTTCTGGCATTGATAGCAAAAAAAAAATGAGTCAGTGCAGTCCACGTGAATATAACACACCGATAAATGTGGGGAAATAAACGATTTCGATTTAAACCTTTCGTGACTGCAGGGATTCATCTTCTTGGTTCTTTCGGTAAAGTCACGTAGAATGGAAATAATAAAATAATAAATATAAAACATAAATATTATTTCCATTATACGTGACTTTACCGAAAGAACCAAGAAGAAATAGACGATGTTTTATTATCCATAATAGAGGTGTTTTGGGTTAGATCACGTAAATATATATTCACGTAAATATTATATATACGTGATCTAACGTAAATATATATTTATATATTACGTGATCTAACCTAAAACCCCCCTCTATTATAGGATATTGGTCGCGAAAGACGACGTGTTAAACTGAAGTGTTATATATCCACGCGCCGTGCCTAAACGCGGAGATGGCACCAGATTTACAGGAGAGAGTAGCTTGAACTTTGAGCTCATCATACTGTACCTCTGTTTACAGAGGTACAGACTCTGAGAAAGACGAGGCTGAAGCGGTTTGGTCGTGTCGCGAGGATGGGAAGGGAGCAATGGGCATCGTCTGTAAGAAGGGTGAGAGGAGAACCAGAGAGACAACGCGAGAGATCGCTACTGAAGATGACCGCTTTGTGATGTAACCAGCCGCACTGACACTAGGATTACAGAATCGGACAAAATGCGTCGTCTTTTTTCACCAACATGCGTAGGGGCCGCCATGTTAAGTTCAGCAAGAACCTTCGATTTATTTCCGTCTTACTTGTTCACTGTGAGAACATTACTCAGATCCACAGAGATCAGCTGCAAAGGGAGCATTTCAAATGCTCAATAAAAGCTGTGGTCCTGTTGCAGACCATCGAAAGTTATCCAACAGCCCAAAAATTACCTGGTATTCCACAGTTCCAGTCTTTGTCAGAGTCCATGTCTCACAAGTCACAGCTGGTAATATGCACTGATTGATAACTTTATTGTTTAGGTTTATTAGTATTTTACTTACGATTTGTTTTCAAAAGCACTCCATCATGCTCTCACTCACCTTCATTTCATAACTTTATTCAGGGTTTGTCTGCTATATTTGGCCTATATTCGCATATTATATTGTTTTACAACTGTATCCTTACAACAGTTATTCCATTAATAACTTGTTGCACGTAATTTTGTTAAAATGCAGAAGTGGAAAGCACCATTCAATGAGAAGTACATATTTGCATCATCCGGAATAAATGACCAAGGCCACGGCTAGAGATTATTTTGAGATTAGTGTACCACAACTTGCATGAGACAATTGGGAATTGGATGGGTTACCAGAAAATGGCTACTCCAAGTGAGAACAGTGATGATGCAATTGTTCCCCTGTAGTAGCCAAGAGGAATCCGCAAAACACGCCAAATTTATTTCCGGCCGAGTGCAGTATTTGGAGTTTTCCACAGAAATTTATTGAAATT